GGTGGTCTGGGCATTCACATCACCCTCCTGTATGTGTGCCAGCACCTGCATGGGTGGAGCATGTGAAACAATATAAGCTGCCAGGAGGCCATGAAGAGATAACAGGCACTACTGTAGCATTGAAAAAGGCCAAAATTACCTTCCAGCACACAGCACTTATAATTCTCCCATATGGCATATAGGGGAAGAGGATGAAACTTGACACATGACTGTGGACAATCAGGAGCTCAATAGAGCATGTTACAATGCCCTCAGCTAAGGACATTTTGGACCAATTGACTTTGGTGGACATGGCTAATGCTTTCTTCTCTATAGATTTGGTGCCAGAAAGTCAAGCTCACTTTGCCTTTACCTGGCAAGGTTGCCAATGGACATTTTTGGTGTTGCTCAAAAATATATGCATAGTCCGACACTATGCCATAATTTGGTTGCCAAGGACTTGGCTACTTGGACACGTCCCGGTGTATACTTGGCTCATTGTGTTGATGACATTTTATTCACCTCTCATTCTCTTACAACAGTAAAGGCAGCAGTGGCATCTCTGCAACTGGCTCTATCATGATGGAGTTGGGAAGTCAACCAAGCCAAAGGGTAAGGACCTGAGTGCTCTGTCAAATTCTTGAATGTGGTAAGTTTGGGTAAGACTCAGGTGACTCCCAACACTGTTGTTGACAAACTAGAGGGATTCCTGATACTCCAGGTCAAAGTACAGCTACACGCCTTCTTACATCTGTTGGAATACTGGAGGCATTTGTCCCACACATGGCTTAAACTGTAGCTCCCCCACATGCCACAACATGAAAGGGCATGACATAGGATTAGACTGACTTGATGCAGACTGCCTCCGTTAAGGCAAAAACAGTTAGTGGCTTAAATGCAAGCCCTTACTGTTATTAGGAACAGCAAACCATTTAAACTGGATGTTACTGTAGAGCCAACAGGATGTGTTTGGGGTCTCTGGGAAAGACAGGATGACACAAAAATGCCTACTGGCTTTTGGTCCCAATTGTGAAAAGGAGCTAAACTCCACTACACTTTGAGAAAAAGCTAGAGTCAAGGTATGCCATTCCAATAGCTACAGGACCCCTAACAGGGAAACAAGATTTAAGATCTATACTAAGCATCCCATGGCAGGATGGGTACAATTTTGGTCAAAGTCTCTCAGGACAGGAGTAACTTCAAGTTCCCCAGGACGGGAATAACTCAAATTCCCATATTGGCCAAGGGGGGGAGCCTATTAGGAACAACATGCTAATTTGCAGTCCAGTCTGTTAGGAGAACAGCTGGCAGCTGTTTTAGCACCTTTTGAATTTACTTCTGGTGAAGTTTATGTCCCAGATATAGGATGGTCCATAGTCCATATGAGGAAGGAATGATGCCACTACTTGATATACCGATGGCAGCTGTCAGGGAGGGCCTACCTTAGTGGTAACCATGGGATACCAGGTAGATCCAAAAACCTATGACATAAACAAGGCTATGGACAAAGTGCTCAGTGTGGGCTGAGCTACAGGCTGTATGACATATTGTAAAGGAGGAACACTCCCCTATACATATAACTATGGACAGTGGGGCTGTGTATAAGGGCTTAACTATTGGCTGCTACCATGAAAAAGCCAAGACTGGCAAATGGGACAAGCACCCTATGGGGTATACAATTGTGACGAGACTTATGGGACTGGAGACACCATCAGCAGATGTATTGTCCAACATTAGAACTGGGGAAATTCATCCCTTGGGAGTAACGTGGCTCCACGAGGCACTTGGTCATGTGGGGGCACAAACTATAGCAGCCATGGGACCACAATTAGGAGTTACTACTACCAGTATGAAAGTGTGCAATGCTTGCTCCAAGAATGCCGAGGAGCAGCATGACGCTGTTTCCTTAGGGAATGTTGATAGAGGGCGGAAACCCCACAGGATTGGCAGATTGGCTATATTGGGCCTCTACTGAGATCACTAGGCAATTATACTTTGACTGTGGTGGCTAGTGCCTCTGGCCTTTTGTTTGCATCTGCTGCTATGCATGCTTTCCAGGATACGACTATCCGAGGCCTAAAACAACTTATGTCAGCCTCTGGCACACCCGTGACTATACACAGTGATCAGGGCACTCATTTTGGTGGACACAAGGTACAGACATGAGCTCAGGAAAAGGGCATTCAATAAAAATTACATGTGCCATATCAGCCACAGGCTACTGAAATGATTGGATGATATAATGAGATGTTAAAGTGCTGTTTGCATGTAACGGCACCTCGTCCCCCCTCTTAGAATAGATGGGCTAATCGACTCCCTAATGTTGTATGCTCATTAATTGAGTAGCCCAGGAGAGATGGCCATTCTCCATTAGATAGGCTGTTGATGTCAGGCAAGATGCATTTAAAAGAGGTCTGGAAAGGTACTTCTCTACCAGCCCCACAGGTAGATCGAGGATTGCTAATGCTGCCTGCTCCAATTACAATTTCAAAAGGGCAAACACAGGACTGCTTTTGGCCATGGATGACACATGGTTCTTCCTCACCATGGATGGCGATGGTATGGCCTACTGCTTTGGGACAGGAACATCAATTAGTAATTGAAACTCCTGTGGGTCTGTGGCTCTGACCCATTGTTGTCTCCATTTTACAGACTGCTACTGCTATTTCAAGAGGCTCTTATGTTTTTTACTGGAGCCTTCTTTCAGTGTTGCCCACAACCGTGCAATCTGGACTCCTCCAGAGGGAGTGGTAGTGGTGCCTGGGTTGTTGCCTGTAATGGCTACAGTATTGACTAGGACACCTCATACAACATGTATTTGCCTGATGGATGGTATTTACCAGCAGTAGTTTCTTCTGCTTTGTTATCATCTTTCCCAGGTGACCAGTAACTCTCTGCTGTCCTGGGCACACATATATGCTGCTGTGCACAATGTCTCCCACTGCTGGGTATACACAGACTTACCGATGGATGTAGTTGGAGGACTGCCCTACACTATACACCCAGCTACCCAAGAAGACTGAAATCATCTGTTCCAGTGCAACCATACAGAATGGGACTAGGATCATCAACAACAGCTGATTAAGACTTCGTTAGGACAGAAACATGACAATGTGCCACCCCCTATTGGCTATGCCATATGGAATGGGTGGGGGTGGATATCAACAGAATAAGTGGAATTACAAGTACAGGCACCCCTATGTATAGAACAAACCAAAGGAGACTCTAAGTGAGTAGCTGGTTGGCTACCCAGAAAATTCTGTAATACTATTATTTATCCTTTGCCTGGACATTGGTGGGATAATCATTTTTGTGCCAGCACTAAACCAGTCATCTGGACCCTACCTGGGTATATGTGAGTATGTGGACATCACGGATGGCCCTATCTTCCAGGACATTGGCTAGGGTGTTATACTTGGGGCCATCTGCATATACATGGGACCATTCTGGCTACTTTAAAATAGGCCCCTGCCAACTGGGATACTGTACACCATAGATAACACAGGACCAAGGGAAAAATAATACAAATAGATGCCCTTACTTGTGACCCTTTACAAAAATGATGGCGTAACCTAGGGTCCACCTTGCCATAGAAAATGTTGTTGTGACTTCTAAATTCAAGAATCTTCCTTAGGGGCCCGAAAACCATACAAGGATGAAACTGCATGGGGTGGGTAAAGTGTGTGGAGACCATATTGTCAATCACACAGGTGCGACCTTGGGGGGTGGGGTGCAGCCCTGGGAACGAATGCTATCCTGGGACCAACACAACCTTGAAGGGTAACCATGGAAACATAACCTTGGGCCACTAGGCCCTGGCTTGATGCCAAAGTGCACTTATGTAACAGAGTATGTGTTTATGAGCCCAGGCTGTATAACTGGCTTTTGGGGGTTTTAGAAGACAGGGATGACAGGTTGCCCTCATCTTTCCTTCCCTCCTACAGTCTGCTGTGTTGTTGCTTGAAATAAAGCTGCCTATCTATACACACAATTGCCTCCTGTTCTGGGTACATTCTTTTAATTTTCCACCAGACCCACTCCAGCACCATTGGCCAAAATAGTGAACATGACAAATATATAAGTGTAGAAAGGAAGCCCTAGTAAAATTAGGATAAAGTCTTACAGAATTCCATCATAACCTAGGAGTGAGAACAGCTATTCTAAATAGAACTCAAAATATAGAAGCCACATAAGAATGAGTGGAGATGGCCAGGTGCAGTACTTACACCTATAATCCAAGCTACTCAGGAGGCAAAGATTGGTAGAATTGTGATTAGAGATTAGCCTGGGCAAAAAAAAAAAAAAAAAGTTAGCAAAATCCAATCAATAACCTGGGCATAGTGGTGCATTCCTGTCATCCCAGCTACGAGGAGGCATAAGTAGGATCATGGTCTGAGGCTGGTCCCCCAAACAAAAACTCAAGACCCTATCTGAACAATAACTAAAGGAGTGTTTCAAGTGGTAGAGCACCTGACTAGCGAGTACGAGGCCAAGTTTAACCCCCAGTGCTGCCAATATGTATATTAAATATATATGGAGATGTTAAGTCAATAGGCAAACATGGTAATAATAAAATGTCATCCATATCACAACACGACTGTTGTAGAGACAGCTCCTAAATTTTTATATGATAAAGAAAAGCAGTAATCCAAAAGAAAAAGTCAGGGGATAGGAATAGAAAAATAAGTAAATACAAATGGTATTTAACTGAATTAAGATACCCCAGCCTATATCATAAGAAAAAAGCACGAGAGTACAGTGTTGTATGACAGAAGGTGACTTCAGACTTGCATTCATTCTCACTCACCTGTTATTCACTTTGGGGTCATGGGCACAGGATTTGAAAAGGAAGCCCAGGGAAGGGGTCCAGATAGTGGTGAATTCCCTCATGAACTATTCTAACCCGTTGCTGTAATCAGCCACCACAGACATCCTCAGTCCACAATTTTCAGAAGCCAAACTTTCATCTTTTGTCTCAGTCCTCGCTCTCATGCACACCACTAAGTCATACTATTTTTAACCTTGAATGGTTGAAGCCTCTTCTGGAATTCTTCGGACTTCAAAGTCTCACTCTCTAGTTCTTGAAAACGAGGGCAGTTTCTGAAAGGCAGGTAGAGCAACTGAAGACAAAAGAAAAAGCATAAGACTTTGATTAGTCAGAAGAGCTTTGCCAAAGAACCTGTGCCAAGATTTTAAGTTTCGTTAGGTCTAGAGATACCTTAATAAAAAATTCAAATGTGCATCAAGCAGAGTGGAAATTCTAAAATCAGAAAGAAAAGGTAAATGGCCTGGAGGTCTTAAAATGGTAGATCTGTACCCAGACCTGAAAAACTATTTTTTTTTTCCTTTCATGACCTTGCTTGATGAGGAATGTGCTACTGGTAAGCTTTCACTCTTGCTGCTTTCCCAGTGAATGACTGTTATCTTGTTTCCCTGCCAACCCCTTTCATTTCCAGCACTAAGTGCACAATTGTGTATCTCTCTCCCACAGGAGTATGGAGAAATAAATTAGAGGTTTTGAAAAGAATCTTAAGAGGTCAACTAACCATCCACTGGCTTCAGCTCTTGCAAATTTGCAGGCTATTAAAATCAGGGTATATATTAAATGCATGGAAAATATAATTAAAAACCTATTAGGAGGACAAAATGATCATCCTAAAATGAGTTTAAATTTCACAATCTCTTGTAGTTTTAACTATAGTCTACATGTTGATGACTCTTAAGTTTATTTTGGTGTTCTCACTTCTCATCTGTACTGTATTTCCAGCCCTTGGAGGAGAATACTATTTGAGTATTTCTGCTCTTTTTTATGAAAACTATTTTTTAAGTTTAGGATTCATTAATACTACAAGGGGGTTCCATGTGAAAATTCCATCTATGCATCCAATGTATTTTGAACAAGTTCACTCCTCTGTTATATTCCTTTAACCCCCTCCCTCGTTCCACCCTTTTCTTTTTTAAATTATATTACTGTTGTACTGGTCATACATCATGACATTTACGATATACTGACAATATGTTTTAGTTAAATTCACTCCCTCCATCAACCTCCTTTATTTGAAGACCTCAAATTTAACATGTACAAAACTGAATTAAACTTCTTCATTTTTCTAACCATTTCCTCTTAGTAATTTCTCTACTTTTGCCAATGGCAAAACTTGTAAACCTGATAATCACTAGCCACTATTATTTGTCTACTTTCAAAATATATTTAAGATAGACTCCTTTATCTTCACTGCCTCTCCCAGACCAAGCTACCATAATCTGCGTTTGAATCATTGTGAGCACTCCCTCTGGGGTCAGTTGATGTCCATTCCTTCTGCCTTCACAATTTCTTCTCCACACAGCAGCTCCACTATTCCTTTTCCTTTTAATTTAATTTTATTTATTTATTGTAGTACTAGAATTTGAACACAGGGCTTTAGGATTACTAGACATGTGCTCTACCCCCCATCCCCTTTGTGCTTTAGTTATTTTTCTGGTAGAGTCTTGTGCTTTTTGCTTGGGGCTAGCCTTAGACCCAAAATCCTCCTATTTACACCATCTGCATAGGTGAGATTACAGGCCTGAAACCACCACACCCAGTTGTCTGTTGAGATGCAGAAATGGTCTTACTTATTTTTGCCTGAGCTGGTCTCAAGCCTCAATACTCCAGATCTACACCTCCCAAATAGCTGGGAGTACAGAAGTGTGCTGCTATCCCTGGTGCCCTGAACTGCATCTCTGAGGTGTATTTTCCTTTTAAGTCATTATCAGGCAAATGCCTCAAGGCACCACTCATCACATGTACATAATACTGAATAAGGCATTCATTCCTCTCCTTTCCTACCTCTGAGGTCTGGTTCAAGTTCTCACTCTCTATGAAAACTTGAATCACTGTCCTGTCATAGGCCCAGAATGTCTTATTTTCTGAATTCCTCCAGCATGCACAATTTGCACTTGAAACTATTGCCCACTATCTTGTACTGTGTTCTGTGTGTTTCACACAAGCTAAGTTTCTTTCATCAAAATATATAATAATTAGAGAAGAAACTTAGCCTCATTTTCTGTACCTTCATTGCACCCAGCATAGCTGGGTACTAATTGACAGGTTTTGTTATACTTCTTAATTAATACAGAATTTTGTTTGTTTTAGTGAGTAGGTAGTTGGAAGTCAAAGGTAGATAATATTGCTTGCTTCTCTCCTTATGCTGCTTCTCTTTTCCCCTTCTAATAGCACCTGCATTCTTTTTATTGTGTAATGTAATCACTGTCATTCTGGATTATAGGTTAAATAGCTAAATTTAGTTCTGCTGTCCAGTCTTTATCTCTGCAGAAAAGCCTGCAGTGAAATTGATTTTTTTTTTATTTTCAGAAAAAAAATATTTTTAAGAACACATATAATATAATACTTAACTCCTGATTCTGTGACAGAAAAGGGATAAACAAGTCATCTTGACTTTTTAGGAAATACCAGAAAAATGGCTAGAGTAGATTTATCTTGAGTGGGGCTAGCAAGGGAGGACTGTTTCTACAAAGCATTTGGGAAGCATTCTTAAAGCAATTAAGTCAAATTTCTGGGAGTATAGGTGGGGCAAAGAGAATAGTAACATATTTCCAGAGGTCCCTGGGTGAAAAGTGGGGTCCATGCCTCAGCCGTAGAGAAATGAGGTGGTGCTATCATTTGAATATCATAGGGATTTATGTGTTGGAAAGTTGGTCTCCAATGTACTGAGAGGTGGAAGTTGTTTAGTCCATGAGGACTGAGCCCTTATGAATGGATTAATCCATTTGTGGATAAATGGATTAATGGCTTATTATGGGTTCAGAGTGGCCTCATTATGAAATGGAGCCTTCTCTGACACACTTACTTTGCCTTGCCTTGCAAAGATGTCTACCATGTCATGACCCACTAAGAAGGTTCTCATCAGATGCTGAGTGGTACCATGCTCTTGGGTTTCCTGGCATCCAGAATTTGAATCTCTATTCTGTATAGAGTACTCAATCTGTGTGATCCCTTATAGAAACAGGAAATGGTCACACCTGTGATGTGACTGCAGGGAAACTAGGGAAGCATTTCTTGTCCTAAACCGCTTCCTTCATATAGCCTTAAGTTCTACACTGGAAGATTAGATTTATTTATCACTATTTAAAAAATAGGAATTCAATTCATCTGAGAAAGTTAAAGTTCCTGTTCAGTCCCACCCTATATAAATGAAATTGAGAGTTTCTCTCAAACAGCCCCATTCAGGCAGCTTCATGTATAGTAGTGGTTCTCAAATTTGGCTACCTATGGAATTTTCAAGGGAGATTATTTTTAAAATATTGGTACCTGGGTCCCATCCTCAGAGACTGTGAGGAGTTTTGAAAACTCTCCAGGTGGTTCAGATATGCGACTAAGTTACAGAACCACTAGAAGATTGTTCTGGAAGAGTTGAGCCTAATTTTGATCCTGAAAATAATGCTTAAAAATCCATTAACCCATCCTGATGTGGCTTTGGATCACTTTTGTTATTTTACCTCTCTGAGCACTTTTGTTTCCATGCTATAAAACACTACTCTTATCTATTGAAGGCTGCTGTGAAAGGAAAATACAATGACATATATAAAGTATTGATTAAACTCCTATTTTGAAGTCAATCTCTCTTTTTTCCTCCACCAAGGAATGCAGATTTTTCAGGAGTGTTTGGTAAGCAGGGAGATCTTTGGATATTCTGGGAAGAGGAGAAACTTGTATTGAGCACCAAAAGCCTGGAAATTGAAGGGAGTCCACTGGGAGGTGTGTGTGCATCTAAAGACAAACAGGAACAAATCACAAAAAGTTGAAATGGTGGTAAAACCAAGTGAATGGTAGAGATTCAAAGAAAAATTAAATCTTCCTTTTTCTTTCCACGTCCTATATTGTCTCTCATACCTTTACTTACGAAAAAATTAAGGTTGCACAACTCATGGCATATCTGGACTTGCAAATCCACAGGTCCCCAGGCAACCTGCCTTCCTCCTTCTAGGACCATGTGGAAACTCCTGGCTGTCTCAGTATACTGACCCGATCTGCAGAGAGAGACACTGTGTGCACTGGGATGGGCTGCCAGGGTAGCCTTGGATTCCAGATGCTGACGCCCTCTGGGGGAAACAGGGCTGCAAGGTTTGTCATAGCACTCATCAGAGTCCGGTCAACATCTGTGCTGCGAATGTAAACCTAGAGAGAAAGAGTCAAAGGAGAAGCCAAATTAGAGGAAATGAGGTTTTCTTTCTGTGGAGCTGATAGGGTTATTAGATAAAGGGCAGGGCATCCATAATAAATAAGCAGACATATTGAGGCAGGTTAAATTAGAGAACGTTTGGGACTCATAGGAAAAAAGATTCCATTTTAGATTAATGATGCTTTGGCTTAGGAACCACCTTCACCTGGCCGGGAACACCCATGCTCCTCCCTATCCAGTGATTATTGGATAGGACTCTCCTATCCCATAGGTTATCATAGGTTTTAAAAACACTTGAAGAGCAGAAATACACGTTCTTGGCTTCTGGCTTCTACCTGGGCTCCACCATGCTTTCCTTCATATTTCTGTTCCCTAACTTTTAATAAATTCCATTTATAACCCCATGTCCTGCCATAGATTCGTCCATAAGGGACAAAGAATTGGAAGTCTTCTGATCACAGACTGAAATAGCACTGTTAACAATAGGGGAGCATCATAATCAGAGCATCTGTTATGGTATCTCTGAGTAATATTATAAGCATACCACGAGACAAAGCAAACTGGCAGGCCAATAGTTGAAATTAAAGAGCGGCTACTTGCCAAGCCAAAGTATTTACACAGGTGTCCATAAAAATTTGAGCATACTAGTATACATTCATTCTTATGGAAAAAAATTCTATAAAGAGATGCACATTTATAAACAACATCTCTGACTTATCTAAGCTCTGTGGAAAGCAGGAAAAGCATTTTTACATATGTAGAATTATTTTAATTCTTTAAGGGTCAAGGTTCCCAGTCTTGGCCCCCAACTTGCCTGTTCACGTTTATAGGACTCATTCAAGAATTTTCCATATCTTTTCCTTATATACTGTCCAAGTTCATAATGCTGTTCCATGCCCAACTATGGGAAAAATCAAAGTAAAAATTAGGTAAAGTGTGAATCACATTATTGTATATGTAGAGTGAAAAAGGTGAGATTCATAGTTCCACAATAAAAACACGTATTTAAATGAACACAGAAAAGAGAGCTGACTCCCAGGTTCCCTGAGAATACTCATTCGTCTTCATTATCTCATGGTGTTTAGTTGATAGTTGGTGATTGATCTAAGCCTATGGTTCATCTCTGGTGTGGTAGTGGGATCCTTGTAGGAAAAGCATTTAAAAGCACTGATTGATGGTTTGGTAGGGATTTTGTGGATGAAATTCAAGCATCTGGTGAAGTTAGGATTGATGAATCTGACGTTCCCTTTCAACCCTTGGGTGTTCTGAACAATTTATTATCTTCACAGTTTATGGCTGGTTCATAAAAAAATTATAGATTCTCAAAGTGTTGTCTGTGGATCAGCAGTATTGGCATCATTTGGGTCATTGTAGAAATCAAATTTTTTTTTTAATTATTGTTGACTGGGGGGTACACTTACAAAACTTCTTATAATATATTGTAACTGAATTCACCCCCTCCAACATTCTCCCGTACTCCACCTCCCCCCATTCCAGGAAAGAAGTCAAATTCTTGGGCTCCACTCTTGACCTATGGAACTAGAATCTTTGAGGGTGGAGATCAGGGAGTTGATGGACAATAATCCTTAAGACTTATTGCATTAGCTCAATGGCCCTTAAGCATGACTGCAAATCAGAAACAAAATTATCTAGAGATGCTTTTGAAATGCAGATTCCTCAGCATCTCCCACAGAGATTCCAACTCATGATATCCTTGGTTGGATGCTGGAATCTGCATTTTAACAAGTGCCTGCCCCAGTGATTCAGATGCAGGTAGCAAAGAACCAGGCTTTGAGAAACATTGCATTCAGATTTGTCTTTAATTCAGAGCCTCACCAAAGGGCTGCTGTTTGGTCACATCTACTCATTTGCTTGCCACTCTTGGTCATCACTATTATCACCTCCTAGCTAAGATGAGGGTGAATGTGGGAAAGGAATAATGTACCATGACCCGGGGACTTTGAACTTTGAGTCTAATTATGTTCTAACTTACAGCTGACTTTTGGGGAAGTGTGCATATTAGGTAAAGAGCAGTGGTTTTCCAACTTTAGCATGGCACACAGGATCACCTGGAGGACTTATGAAAATATAGATTTCTGGACTTTAATTCCAGAGACCCTGATTCACTGTGTATAGGATAGGGCCAGAGAATTTATATTTCTGGCAAGTTCTCGGATGATAGTGAAACTGCTGTTTCAGGGACCACACTTTGAGAACCATTGATCTAGAGATTCATCACTTCATCAATATGCCAATTAGAAGTAGTCAAGGGCGGGAATTTGAACTCTAGACCTTTGGTTTTGCTTTAAGAGTCTTCCATGTTCTAGTACCATTGGCATAATCTTGAAGCTTCTGGGACATGCAGAACCTCAGGTCATACAGGAGGCCTGTGCATTAGAATCTGCATTTTAACAAGATCCCCAAGTGGTCCTTTGCATATCAAAGTTTGAGAAACAGGCTATATGGGAGTCTAATGGCTAGTCCAAGCATTCCCAGAATAACCCACGTCCCACCGTCTAAAAGAATCTTTTGGTCTTCCTAGGAAAGCACAGCAAGAGAACTAGAGCCGTAACTATTAAGAAGCATATGTGAATTTTTATAAGCCTTTTCTCACTCAAGAGCAAGGAGACGGGTAGGCTATGGTGGGATGATGCTGATCTCACATTTCTCCTTTACAAAATCTAATGGTTGGTTAGTGCAAGGCTTGGCCACACATTAGAGTGAACTGATCAATCAAGGAACTTCCCCAAAATCCAATGCCCAGGCTATATCGTATACCAATTAAATAATAACCTCCCAGGCAGACATCAATATTTTAAAAACTTCTCTAGATAATTTCAATGTTTAGGCAAGAACAAGACCATTAGTTTTGGAGACATTCAACCCTAAATATTCTGTAATATATTCTTAATGTATTTAAGCAGTGCTTTGGTCAGGAAAGAAGTAATGCACCAGGTCTGTGATTCCAAATAGAAGAGCCATCTGGTCTTTCAAAGGTGGGGGGTGGGCCCTGGAACAGTGACTACAGATTACTTTGTCATAGTTCACTATCTCTTTAGATGCACTTTAGGAAGCATGGTTCCTTGTATTTAACCTACCATTTATAAAGAATGCTCAACCCAGACTGGGTATGAGGGCTCAAGCCTGTAATCCCAGCTACTTGGGAGGCAGAGAAAAAGGATCATAATCAGAGGCTGGCCTGGGCAAAAGCATGCAAACTTATCTGAAAACTAAAGGACGGGGGTGTGGCTTAAGTAGTGGAGCATCTTCTTAGAGGCTCTGAATTCAACCTCTCGTACTATAACATACACGCCCCTCTCCCAATGTTAATCCCCATGAATACAGCTGACAGGAATCAAATTCTGGTATGATCACTTCCTGAGGAAAGGAAGTGGCTGACACTTATTGATTACAAGTCTTTTTGTTTGTTCCTTGCTTTGTTTAATTTTCTCAGGTGGAGCCTAAAACCCTTGGGGTTTGCTTGTATTTTTTGGCTTGAAAGTATCTTTCTAAGCTCATATTCTTCTGTTGTCTATATACAGCTCCCATGCTTAAATTAATCCACCTGGCTAAAACCAATCCATCAAAATAGTCAATTCTATGAACATTTCCACTGGAGACTTGTCAACAACATTTAGCTGATCTTCCAACCAACCTGTGTGAGTTGGCCAAATCCTTGTGGCCATGAGGACTCCTTTATGGGATCGTTAGGAAAGGTTTCGATGGGACTTCGGTCTCCATGCCGAAACACCTGAAAATAGATGTGAGATAGTAATGCTACAAATTTCACTTGGATGTTTTGCTTCTACTCATCATAATAGATTTTCGTCTAAATTATGGCTCGCCATCTTTGACTGCCCACTGGAATCACCTGGGGAGTTCTTGAAAAATTCTAAAGACTAGCTTCCACTCTAATGATTTTAGTTTAATTAGTCTAGGGTGTTACTTGGGCATCAGTATTTTTTAAATCTCTCCAAATAAATCTCAGTAAGAACTCTTATTCTAAGCTTACTAATGATTTTAAGTGTTTAAGGTAATATTAGAATCAAAATGATTAGCCACTAGAAGGTAGACAATACATACATGAAGGTTTGCATATTGGGGAGGGTGGTAAGGAATGCAAAGCTTACAAGACCACTTTATTGTGGATAGACAGATGAGAAATATTCCCGTCTTAATTATGACCACAGTAATGGTGTGTAAAATTTTACATATGATTAAAGCTGTGGACTTTAACTGATACATTCAGTTTGTGACCATTTTGAGCCAATGGTTAGTTTTTATGGGGTTGATGGGTATGAGAATTGCAGGTGGGGAGATTAGAAGAGTTAATTCTTAATATTTTAACAACATATTTCTGTTGTATGTACCCCATGCTATTTTGATTGCACATTTTTATTGCGGGGAGAGTAGTTTGGACTTTTGAAATCTTGGATGTATAATTCTAAAATACTTTTAGAGTAGGATGCCAGGCAGAACACAAAGGCATTTTACAAGCAAAATAGAAAGAGAGGAATACATAGAAAGCAGAAGATGAAGTCGACACTGATGTCAACTAATATACAGGAGGGTTGCTTACTTCCTTGTTTTATGTGACATTGTCTGGCTAAGATGTTCCATTGTAAAGGAAGCCAAGAGGCTGCTTTTTAAATGTTTTTTCAAATCCTGCAAAAGCAATTCTGTAGACATGTAGACATGGAATAAGGGACTGTCTTAAACTTTAGTTATCTTTAAAAGAAATTCCAGGACAGTGGGGGAGGCTTCTAAGACCTGGATTGTGTCTATGGAATTGAAGAAAATTGATCTTTTGGCCCCCTGAACCAGTGAGAAATTAAAGGCTCAGTAGGACAGTCTACAGAAAACAGAGGGGCAATGATGCAGTGATGGTAAGCCATTTGGGACAGATAAGGAAATGTGGTGAATGGTCACTTCCTGGCACAAAGAACAGCTGCAAATTCTCCCCTGAGCACCTGTGGTTACTAATTTCTATGGGTGACTTGATCATGATGAGGAATTACCAAGGTTAACCATTAGTGCTTCTCTTTCTATAATCAAAACACAAATTTTAGACTTTTTAGATCCCAAGTAATTGTGCAATGTACTTTCCCAGATCTGATTGGCTAAAGTCGTTATATAGGTTTAATAGATTACTAACCCTATATTGTTTATTTTCTCAACCTTAGCACTATTGACATTTTGGGGCTGGATAATTCTCTGGAAAGTATTTATTTTACTTGTTTTTGGTTGTTCTAAGGTTCAAACTCAGGACCTCACACTCACTAGGAAAACGCTCTGCCAGTTGAGTCATGCTTCCAGGCCTCAGGCTGGATAATTCTGTTGTAGGAAACTGTCCTTTGCATTGGAGGAAGTTGAGCAGTGTCCCTGGCTTCTATTCACTAGATACCAGTAACATTCTTCCATTATGACAATTGAAAAGGCCAAACAACCACTGGGGGGCAAAATCAACCCCCCCCCATCTGAGGGCCACTAAGTTAGCCCAAGTGAAGTCAGATGGGCAGAATTCTACTAAAATAATTTTACATTGCTCCCTGCTAGTATACAAAAATAATTGTTCAACAGTTTTTGAACACTTGCTTCTTCTTAGAGCTGCCTAGGTATACGTCACACACTTAACCCTCTCATCAATTCTACAAAGCAGTTACTCTTGTTATTCTCATTTCATAAATGACCTTAGTTAAGGTCACCTGCTCAAGCTCAGCATATAACTGGTAGAGAGTTAGCAGGTTGTGTGTCTTCCATACCAGCAATTTTTTTTAAATGTATGCTGGGGATTGAACACAGCGCCTTGCACAGGCTAAACACATGCTTTACCTGAGCCATGCCCCAGCCCTCAGCTTTCTTAACCATTCACTGGTAAGAGGTGCATTTCTCCAGGTTCACTCCTCAGACCTCCCTGAGCTAAGTTGGATGATCTGAGACCTGGATATTTTTTATAAACTCTTCAGTATACTTTTTTCCTCTAAGACTAAAACTTGTGTGTGTGTGGGCACTGCACCAGAGAAACCAAAACCCTGACATAGAAACAATCTCCCAAAGGCCCCAAGAACTATGTACAGTGTTTAAAAACCAAAACTGAGGTTATGCACCTAAGTGGCTGAATGGCCTGAGACAAAGAGCAAGAGTGGACTCCTAAGCAGAGTGCGTTTTCAACAGCAGAGCACTGGAGCATAACCATGAGATGGGGACAGCTTTCTCATTCTGACCTATATGCAGAAGTAATTGGATTCTGCCACATATCAGTAGGTTTTAGGGGTTTCTGAGGTAGTGGCTGAAACACACTAGGCACTGTTTACAAGGGATGTCCCACAGAAACTCCCAATAAACCATCCTTCCTGGGGAGTCTGGAAAGCATACATAATTGCTTCCTGGTTTATAGAATCCTCTCCCCTGCTATCTCTTGTCATTCTTACAATGCCTTGTGAGGAGAGGTTGGTGCTTTTGGGGACTGAGCAACTCAGGAAACTGAGGCTTGGAGCGACTCAGTGAGCTGTCCAGATCTCCTGATTTGCATGATTGGTAGTTCACTGTTTCCCCACAACATTATGTTCACTTCATCCTCTACTCTACAGAAACTATTTTTTAAGAGCTGGGGTTTGGTTCCCCATGAGTGACCCTGCTGCACTGTGTCTGTTAAACAGATCTGGCACACGGCTTAGGGTGTGAGGCCCTCGTGAGTACTGTCGGGACGAGTCAAGTCCTCTCTTCAGGAAGCAAGTCACGTGCTTGCTTCCAAAATGTCAATCGGAATGTTACTTGAACTGGGCATAGTGGTTCCTTTCTATAATCCCAGCACTTAGGAGGCCGAGGCCAGAGGATCATGAGTTTGAGGTCAGCCTGAGCTACAGAGAAAGTCCAGCCTGGGATACTTAGGGAGACCTTGTCTCAAAAAAAAGTTATTTAATTGCTTAGAACTCCCTCATGTTCTTCATTCTTTCCTGGAAAAATTTAAAGATATACAGAAGTAGAGAATTTTTTTGAGACAGGGTCTACTCTGTAGCTCAGGCAGGCCTTGAACTTGTGATCCTTCTGCCTCAGTCTCCAGAGCAGCTGGGATTACAGGTATTTACCAGTACACTGAGTTTTTAAAAGTAGAGATTTTATGTAGCTGGTATGCGTGTCAGTACAGGCCTGAAATCCCAGCTATGAAGGTGGCATAAGAAGGAAGATTGAAGTTGAGGCCAGCCTTAGGCAAAGAAAAAAACCAACCAACCAACCAAACACACACACAAAAATACAAGACACTATCTGAAAAAATAACTAAAGCAGAAAGTGTGGCAGTGTAGCTCAAGTGGTAGAGCACCTGTGTAGCAAGCTTGGGGCCCTGAGTTCAAACTCCAGTTCCACCAAGAAAAAACAAAAAGTAGAGATTTTAATAAAAATGACCCTCTTAGCCCACTACTGCCTCCAACAATCATTAACCGGTATGTAGTCTTGTTTGTTTTATATCCTAATTTCTTTCAGACATTATATCATGTTCTACTTCTCTCTCCTATACATGCTCAGCCACGGGCCTTCCTGCTGGTTCAGTCCCAGTTTCCTTGTCCTTGGTGTTGTGTCTGCTTTGAATATTCTACTTTAACTTCTTCCCCTGGCACACACACTCACTCTCTACATTCAGGTCTGTCCAAAGAAATGTGAGAAGTCTTCCTTGATCATCCATTATGAACTAAGTCTGCTCAATCTCTATCTTGTCTCACTGTTTTGTTTTCAACCCTGTGTATTTCCTTGTTTTTCAAATTTTAAATTAAAGATTGAAAGCAATCTGATTCCCCCTTTTCCTATGAGGTCCTTGAAAGCAGATTTCTTGCTGTCACTATCATATCCCCAAATGGTGCCTGGAACATAGTGATACACAAAAAGCCTGTTTGGATGAACCAATGAATGCTGGAGTGGGTCTAGTTCCTCCAGGTTCATGATGACCTTCTTTCTAGCTTCCCATGTCACCAGGACTTTTGGCTTTCATCTTTACTCATTAGCCAGGTGTGCTGTGTGTACTCATTTTTTCCTCCCTCCTCTCCTTCCTCTATTTTTCCTTTCTATCCCTTCCATTTCTGTCTGTTTCTGAAACAGTGAATCTGCCCCTGAACTAGCCTGGAGTCTCACAAACCATCGTATTGTCCTCTCAGCTTTGGAACTCAAGATACACCATCAACTTTGGGATGACTGGAAATCCTGAAAGGAACCTTGGTTCTTGATATGAAACTCTTCTCCCTGTCCAATTAGGGTGCCCTCTAAGTTGGGGAAAACCTCTCGATGCACAAAGGTTACCATGAATAAAAGCTTATTTTTCTTCTTTTAAGGAACTGAAAAATAAAACCATTGGTAAACAAGACAAGGATGAGTCATGTAGATGAACACCACTCTAGAAGTGAGAAGGAAAGCCGGCCAGCTATGAAGGAATCAGTACTCAAGTATATCCTGCACTTTCCATAAGGAAGGTGGGTCAAGACTAAAGAGACTCTTGTCCAGGGACCAGGAAGAACAAGAAGCCATAGGAAAAAGAAAAGGTGCAAACTGTGCATTATACTCTGTGCAAGCTATCAATATATCAGACAAGGTCTGGCTTTCTAGTCACTTGGGCTACATTTCAAACCCCTGCTTTGTCAAACACTAGTTGGGTGACCCTGGGAAAATGACTTAAAGTTTTGTATGCCTCAGTTTCCCTTTCTGTGTAACAAGAAAATCATCATTTACCATGCAGGAGCAACATGGGAATTCAATGTGTAATAT